TAATTCCTATGTTAGTATTAGTAGTTGTAGTTGGAGTTCGAAGTTGTCTTTGTCTTGGATATCTTGGGTATAAGAGTTAGTAGCCTCGGAATTGCCTTGTGGTTGTCGTTTATTGTGAGTAGTGTAGCCGCAGTTTTTTGTCAATACAAGAAATAAATTCCTTTGCCTCTATATCATTTTTCTTGATTGTTCCTGTACGTTTATGTGTGTTTATTTGTTTGTGTCCATTAGAGTGGTATTAGAGTTACGGTAGATTAAAGTATGGCAAACCCTATCCCTAATATTGTTTCTTCTATCGAAAAACTCAAAACAAAGGCGGAGTTCAGTTTTTAGCAGAAACAAATAATAACTCATCTCAAGGTATGTAAATTACATCGATTTCTTGAATCTGCACTTGCTCAAGATGCTAGTGAGGAAGATAAAACGAAAGATAACTTGGCTTTGTCACAAATTCATCAGGCAATTGACATGTCAATTTTTAAAAAAATTACTACGGCTGATACGGCAAAGGAGGCTTGAGATATATTGGAGAAAACATACAAAGAGATCGACAAGGTCCAACAAAATAATTTGATGATATTAAAGAGAAAATTTGAAGATGCGACGATGAAAAAATCTGAATCTATTGAGTCATATTTTTCTCGCTTGTCAGATATTAAAAATGAAATGAAACTCAATCAATATAACCTTTCTGATAGAACATTTATTGAGAAAATTCTCAATACCCTACCTATAAAATTTGATCATGTGGTAGTTGTGATCCAGGAAATGAAAGATTTGGAGGATTTGAGTATTGAAATTTTGCATGGGTCATTAATTCTGCATGAACAAAGTATTAATGAAACAGAGGAACAGAGAATAATGATATCAGGGAGTGAGGTGAATCCAATTAGAAGAACAGAGGTGATTACAATAACAGATATGGTCGTGGCAACAATAATAGAGGCAAAGGAGGTACATCAAATCCTGGACGCGGTAAAGGTAATAAGTTTTAATTTTAGAGGTGGTCCTGGTAGAGGCAGATGTGGTAATTTTGACAGAGAAAATAATTTTAAGGGATAATTTCAGAAATCTCCCCTGAGGTTTCTGACATTTACACTTACCTCCCCTGTGGTTTGAACAATTACATTGACCTCCCCTAAGGTTACTAATCCTTTACAAATTCAGTCCAAATGATTAAAATATTATTTTAGATAGTGAAATTAGAATTTTGTACCTGATTTGTCCTTTGTGCCACATGTCCAATGAATGGCAAAATATTACAAATTAATTAACAATGAATAAACTTTAACGAGCATAGTTTATAGGCAAATACGTATTGCCTATTTAAAGTACCAGCTCTTTACATGAATTTTATTTTTAAACATTTACTTTATCACAAATATTTATTCTTAAATACATATTTGTATTTACTCTCAAATATTTAATTTTTGTTAAACATAAAACCTACCAGTTTTTCTTTCGTAGAAATATTAATATAATATTTTTTCAATTTCAATTACAAATATTTATGTATTTAACATAAATTAAATGATTCAGAATAAAATACTCATAAAGAACTAATACTTTACTCATTTAATGGATGAAAGCCATAAAAAATTAACATTTTATAGGCCTTTTTTTTTAAAATTTTAATTTATATTAAATAGATAACCTATCGATTTTCTTTTTACAAGAATATTATTGTAACACCTTTTAATTTTTAATTACAAATATTGATATATTTATTGTAAATTAAATATTTAAAAATAAAATACCTGTAAAGAGCCGGTACTTTAAATAAGTTATGCGTGTTTGCCTATAAACTACACTCCTTACTTAAATCAATAAACTACACTCCTTAACTTAAATCAATAAACTATACTCTTTACTTTAAAAATCAATAAACTACACTCCTTAACTTAAATCAATAAACTATACTCTTTACTTTAAATAGTGTAATTTATAGGCAAATACGCATATCCTATTTAAAGTATCGGCTCTTTACAGATATTTTATTTTCAAATATTTAATTTATGATAAATATATTAATATTTGTAATTAAAAATTAAAAAGTGTTAAAGTAATATTCTTGCAAAAAAAAATCAGTAGGTTATCTATTTAATATAAATTAAATATTTTTAAAAAAATAAATGGCCTCATAAACTATTAATTTTTTATGACTTTCATCCATTACATGAGTAAAGTATTGGCTCTTGATGGATATTTTATCCTGAATCATTTAATTTATGTTAAATACATAAATATTTATAACTAAAATTAAAAAAGTGTTATATTAATATTTCTACGGAAGAAAAACTGGTAGGTTTTGTGTTTAACAAAAATTAAATATTTGAGAGTAAATACAAATCTGTATTTGAGAATAAATATTTGTGATAAAGTAAATGTTTGAAAGCAAAATACATGTAAAGAGCTGGTACTTTAAATAGGCAATACGTATTTGCCTATAAACTATACTCGTTAAAGTTTATCAATTGTTAATTAATTTGTAATACTTTGCTATTCATTGGACATGTGGCACAAAGGACAAATCAGGTACAAAATTCTAATTTCACTCTCTAAAATAATATTTTAATCATTTGGACTGAATTTATAAAGGATTAGTAACCTCAGGGGAGGTCAGTGTAATTGTTCAAACCATAGGAGAGGTAAGTGTAAATGTCAGAAACCTCAGGGGAGGTTTCTGAAATTATCCTAATTTTAATTTAGAATAATTTTGGACACAAAAAATTCAATATTATAATTGTGAAAAATTTGGCCATAAACAATTTGAATGTAGATTTGGAGGAAAATATAGACAGAAATTTTGTCAGACATAATGTTGCTGACAATCAGGGTATAAGGATAATAATAAAATCTGGAATCTATTATTAGTCTGTAATATTGTTGGTGATTGATAAATAATGGTAATGTGGATACGGGTTTGCAGCGCGAATCATTATGTCTCGAAAAGAATATTTGTTGAATTGATGAATCTGGTCTGTGGGAAGTTAAATTTGAAAATAAGCATTGTTTACCAAGCTGTTGTTGGCAGGAAAAAATTGCCGCTATTAGCTGAAAAATTTGGGTTCTTCTGATTTTATTTTTGATGTTTTCTATGTTCCTGGATTGCATCATAATTTGTTGAGTATGGGCTAAAAGTCTGAGAAAAAAATATGATATTCGTATCAGGAATGGTACTTGTACCATTTTTGATAAAAAAAAAATATTGGAATGATTGTCAGTGTACCAATGACTTCAAGTCGCTTATTTTCACTGAATTTGAGTTCTGCCAATTTTTCTTGTTTGTTTACGGTGATAGATAACAGTAATTGATTGTGACATATGTTATTTGGTCATTTGAATTTTGACAGTTTGAGATTTTTGGATAGTAGAAAAATGGTTGGTGGGTTGCCTACTATTAGAAATTGTGGTAAATTTTGTGATATGTGTATTTTGGAAAAACAACACAGGAATGGTTTTCAGACTGGCAAATCATGAAGGGCCAGAAGGCCATTAGAAATTATTCATTCAAATTTATGCGCTGTGGAGGTTTCTTCTAATGGTGGTCATAGGTATTTTATTACTTTTATTAATGATTTTAGTAGAAAAGCCTAGGTGTATTTTTTGAAACAAAAATCTGATGCGTGTGACACTTTTAAAATTTGTAAGACTTTTGTTGAGAGATAAAGTGGTTGTCAAATTAAAATTTTGAGAATAGATAGGGGTCAAATATATTTGGTGTGTGATGATTTTTTTGAAAAAAAAAAAAATAGGATACAGTATCAATTGACTATCAGGTATACTCTCCAACAAAATGGAGGGGATGTTGGATCCTTAATCTAACATTTGACTTATATGTGAATAATTATGTATTGCAAACTGTCGATTAAGGTTTAACCCAATTAAAATGATCAAATATAGTTTGGGTTTAATGTATCTAATAGGATGTGGGCCCTTTAATGTGTAGAAACTTATGGGCTCCTATTTCAATGATGGGCTGAAATAGGGCTCCAAAGGGTAACAGGAATGTTACCTATAAATAAGGTTATGGTCCCCAGGTCACAGGTATCGTTTTAGTTGTCGTATTTCCTAATACCACAAAATATCTCTTCCCTGATATCTCATCGTCAGGAAAGATATCAGAGAGAAACTAAAGGCCTCTCTCAAAGGATCAGTGAATACCTGTTGACCTGGAAGGCCACCCCAAATATCTAAGGGATTAAAGTATCAAGTTTATCAATATGGATTCAGGTACGCTTCCGCTATTTTACAGTTAATTTATTTCTTAATAATCGCCATACAGATCTTGGGTTTAAAGGTGATGGTTTTCACCAGTGGTTAGATTTAGATAACCACCCTAACAGGGGAAGAATAAGACAGTAATGGATATGGTGAGGTGTATGTTGAAACTAAAAGATATACCAAAATCTTTTTGGGTAGAGGCAATTTCTTGTGTAATTTATTTGTTAAATAGATGTCCTACCAAAGTGTTTGTGAAAGAACCCATGAAGAAGTTTGGAATGGTAAAAGACCATTTGTTGGTCATCTCAGAGTTTTTTGGGTGTATCACTTATTTCCATGTTTCTGATCAATTAAGAAAGAAACTTGATGACAAGGGCGAGAAGTGTGTATGTATTGGTTTTAGTGAAGTCTCTTAGACTTACAAGTTGTATAATCCTGTGACAAAAAAGGTGATAGTGAGTAGAAATGTGACTTTTAATGAAAGAAATATTTGAAACTGGTCTATTGGAGATCCTAAAGCAGGAGAGGTGATTCCAAATTATCAGCAAAAGGATGTTAATGATGATGTTCAACTATCACCAGTTGTTTAGGGTCCACAGACTGAGTTAACTGGACATCCACAGCGTCAACGACAGATGCCAACTCGTCTACAAGATTATGTTATTACACCAGATGATGTTCTTTCTGACAAAAATATTATTAATTTTGCTTTGTTTGCAGATTGTGACCCAATTATGTATGAGGAGGCAGCTTGTGATGATCGTTAGGTGAAAGCAATGGAGGAAGAAATTCATGCAATAGAGACGAATGATACCTGGGAGCTTACCTCTCTTCCAACTGGTAAAAAAGTCATTAGAGTGAAGTGGATATACAAAAAAAAAAAAATTTAATTCAGTGGAGAAATTGATAAATACAAGGCGAGATTAGTGGTGAAGGGATACAAGTAGAAATCCAGGATTCATTATTTTGACGTATTTGAACCTGTTGCTAGGGTTGACACTATCCGTATGATAATTTCTCTACCCGCCAAAATAATTGAAGAATTTTTCAAATGGATGTGAAATCAACATTTTTGAATAGATTTCTTAATGAAAAGTTGAATGTGAAGCAGCCAACAGGATTTGTCAGAAGAGATCAGGAAAATAAGGTGTATAAATTGAAAAGAGCCTTATACTGATTGAAACAAACTCCAAGGGTGTGGTATACAAGAATTGATTCATATTTTCTGACTCGTGATTTTTAGAGGTGTCCATATAAGCACACTTTATATATTAAATTTTCTGCTCGTGGTGATATTCTTATTGTATGCTTATAAGTAAATGATTTAATTTTTACAGAAAATAGTCCAGAGATAATTGCAGAGTTTAGAAAGGTTATGATTAAACAGTTTCAGATGACAGATATGAGACTCATGTCATATTTTTTGGAAGTTGAAGTCTTTTAGTCTGACAATGAAATTTTTATATCTCAAAATAAATGTGCAGGTGATATTTTAAAGAAGTTCAAGATGGATACAACGAAATCGATTATGACACTAGTTGAAGAAAAATTGAGTTTGATCAAGAAGGGTGCTGTAAATCTTACACACTTTAAAAGTTTGGTAGGAAATTTAAGGTATCTAAAATCTACAAGGCCAGATATCAATTTTATTGTTGGTTTGATTAGCAGGTTCATGAAAAATTCACATCAGTCACATTTGCAGGCAGCTAAGAGGATTTTTAGGTATATTAGAGATACTCGCAGTGATGGCATTTTTTATTCAGAAAATGATATAGTTGAGTTGTTTGGCTACACAGTGATTGGACAGGTAATACAGTCAAGAGGAAGAGTACATCAGGTTTTGCATTTTTCATTGATTTAGGAGTATTTTCTTGGAGTTCTAAGAAGTAGCAAGTGATTGCATTGTCTACAGTAGAAGCAGAATATATTGCAGCAATTAACAGTGCCACTCAAGCTTTGTGGTTGATTCTACGAAACAGGTTGATCCTACGAAGATTTATTGTGATAGTAAATCAACGATTGAATTATCCAAGAATCCAGTACTCCATGGGCGTAGCAAGCATATTAATATTAAATATCACTTCATACGTGAGTTGGTTCGAAAGAGAGATATTGAAGTTGATTATTACAGAACTGAAGAGCAAATGGTTGACATTTTTTTCAAGGCATTGAAGACGTAAACTTTTGTCAAGTTGAAAATGATGTTGGGTATGTCCAAATTAGAGGAGCTTGGTTTAAGGGAGGCAATGTAACAATATTAAACGAAGCATCAATAATTAATGGTCACATGTCTTTGTTTAATTGGTTGACTAGATAGGTGCATTGATTGTGTTTTGTTGTGTGAAGCATTGGATTAATTCCTATGTTAGTTTTAGTAGTAGTAGTTGGCGTCCGAATTTGTCTTTGTCTTGGATATCTTGGGCATAAGAGTTAGTAGCCTCAGAATAGCCTTGTGGTCGTCGTTTATTATGAGTAGTGTAGCCGCAGTTTTTTGTCAATACAAGAAGTAAATTCCTTTGCCTCAATATCATTTTTCTTGATTGCTCCTGTGGATTTATATGTATTTATTTATTTGGGTCCATCAAAGCAGAATGTCATATCTTAGAAAACATAAATGAAGGATTGAGTGTATATCTAACCAGCTAAAAAGCTGACTTGGCTGAAAATTCTCATGTCAAATCCCAAACCATACGGTCTGCTACTAAAGATGAAGGAGGCTGAATTCTTGAGACCTCAGAAATAATTGACTCTGGCGGCCATTCTTGTAACAATAAATGATGCCATTACCCATCCAAAACAAAATCACTGACTTGATGATGTGCACTGATTTTTGTATGTCGACATAAAGCATAATGCCCATCGAGTTGTCATGCCAAAAATGAGAAGATCCATCACTAAGAATCCATGTGATATGTTCTTTAGCAACATGTCGATGCAATAGCATCCTTTTTCAACTAGATGAGCTAGAAGAAGTAAAACTGACACTACATGGATGATTCCCCCCAAAATATTTTGGCAACATAAAAACAATCAGAGAGACTTTTGCTTTGAAAAATTCCACCATAGCTTCAACGACAAAGCTCGAAAAATATCATGCAAGAAATGAATTCCTACCCCATCTTCTACACCAGGCAAGCACAGTCGTGCCATTTCAACTAGTGATGTTTATGTCCTTCATCGTTTGCACCCCATAAAAAATCAGCAAATACTTTTTCTATTAGGCGGAAAATAGCTTTCGGGGGATTTGCACTTGCCAAGACATGCAAAGGGATGGAAGGCAAGACATGTTTGATGAAAACCAACTTAACTCCTGATGATAACAATCGATGCTTCCAAGATAAAACTCGTTTCACTATAGACTGGCACATATCACTAAAATACTATACCTTCCTCCTTCCACAATACAAAGGATCTCCCAAGTACCTCACTGGAAACCAGTAACAAGAGTAATTAAAGAATGATGAACCGAAGGCAGCTTTGAATGACACATATAACAGCTCTCTAGATATTCGCCATTTGACCTGAAACAGATTCATAGCCATGAATAACATTCATCACTAGTTACAATGAACGATGCGAGGCACTGGAAAAAATAATAATATCGTCCGCAAATGCTAAGTGCGTTAATGGCCAGCACCTCACTGGAACTTTATATGGCATAAATCCAGGCTTAAACAATAAAGAATTAAGACTTCGGGAGAACACCTCAGCTCCTATAACAAACAATGCAGGTGAAATGGGTCACCTTGTCGCAAGCCCCTTGTCGAGTTGAAAATTCCCTGTGGAACCTCATTAACAATTATAGAAAACCAATAGTTTGAAATCAAACGCCATATTACATCCACCCATCATTCACCAAATCCAAACCTGCTAAGCACTTGAAGTAAAAAAGGTCAAAAGACTCTATTGTACGCTTGGGCCATATCTAACTTAATTGCCACATTTCCCCCTATTCTTCTTGCCCATACTAGCCACTAACTCTTGATCTAGGAGAAATTTATCAGTGATTGTTCTACTACCCACAAAACCACTTTACTGTGGGGAGATCAACTTGGGCAAAATCTTTGCTGGCCGATTAGATAATACTCTTGAGACAACTTCATTAACAAAGTTAAAAAGATTTCTGGGTTGAAATTGGGAGAAATATTGAGGCTGCCGAACTTTAGGAATTAATATCCTAGAAGCAGTCATGAAGCTCATTGGCAACTCTGAACCACAGAAAAAAACTAATAATAGCATTATATAAATCCGATGCTATAATCTCCCATGTAGTAGTAAAAAATTTCCCATTAAAAGTTTAAAACCATCTAGACCAGCAGCACTGTCTCCAATGATGGAGCCAAGGGGGCTCATCATACCGCTTTGGAACACTTACCTATCTGCTTGTTCCATCTCCAATCTACATTAGGTGAATATTTTACCTTCTGAGTGTCTCTTCTCTTATGCATCTTTCGGTCACTGTTAGTTAATAATTTAGAAGTGATTGACTGTCAGTTATCACAGCCCTTGTATGCCAGCCTTAAGCACCAGAATGATCAACCTATGACTTTTATTTAAATGAATTACAAGTGAAGAATCAGGAAACAACGTTTATTTGTTTGCACTCAGGTGTATTTTGGAATGTTAGACGCACTATTAGCTGAAGAGAAAGTTCCGCAGGAGTATTCAAGTCGAATTCAGGTTGATCATCTATTATCTTATTCAAGATGCTAGTTTATCATCCAACCGTTGCCAGGTTAGTAAGTCCTGATATTGAAATTTGTTATGATTCACAGGTTATTCTATGCAATGACTGTGAAAGGAAAGGAAATGCTTCCTTCCACTGGCTGTATCACAAGTGCCCTCATTGTGGTTCATACAATACCAGGCTTCTATAAGCCAAATACACAGTGAGTGTGTGACAACTGATCTGACAAAGCTGTAATACAATTTAGTCCGTTTTATACAGATAAGAAATTACTACTTGCCATGCATTATTTTAATGGCTTGAAGAAACTAGGAATTGGCACATACTCTGTCTTCTCATTTTCCTGAAGAAATTTGATACTGTCCTAGACTTTGCATCATCATCATTTCATAAACAATAAGTAATATTTTAAGTTTGAAATTCCTTATTCTGTGAAGCTACCAATAGCAAGGCGTCAATTCTGATAGAGCAATTATTGGGCACATTTTGTACTGTTATTTTGTCATAATTTTGGCTACTCACGGTGTTAAGAATTTAGATTTTGCTCATATTTGATATTTGTGTAAAGTGTAGGTGGTTGGCGTAAAAAGTGCTCTCGCAGGATAAATTTCCAGAAGACTTTTTTTCTCCGGGCGTGCCCACGCCAGAGATCGAAAGAGGTACATCAAAAGGACGGACCCGCAGGATTAATTGCAGCAAAGCCAACTAAGGATCCCGGTCCACATGAACCCGAAGCACTGGATTAAAACCTTTAAACAAAAGCTTTGTTCCTGACCATTGGTGGACTTCTCCTGCGGCGGCTTCAAATAGAAAAGAAAAGAAAGGGCCAGGGAGGTCGGAGGTATTAGATTAGCTTTTGCTTTTGAGTGTCAGGCGCTTTTTCCTTTTGTTTTCTTCGGTAGCAAATAGGAAGAGCCAGAATCACGTAGGCTTAGGAGAGGATTTCTTTGATTCTTCCCTGTAGCCGTTTTTGACTTGCGGCTTCCATTCTGTACAATTATTCCATTAGCTTTTAGCCTTTTTCTGGACTTTGCTCCAGGACAGACGCAAGAACAAGAAAAGAAATTCAGGGATTTTCTCTTTCGTTACTTCATTAATTCATCTTTCCCAATTCCTTAGCAATTAATTCTTTGGCAATTGCGTGGATGAAATCAATCAACCCACGCGTGATTGATACGATGAGGCGCGGCTAAATCTTTACCCTACCCAAAGGTCGACGCGAAGGTGCGGTCCATAATATCTGTGAGATCTAATCGAATCTTCATTATTTCTTCCATTTTATTGCTATTCGTGCGTTTCCTGAATTAATTGTTCATGGGTATTTTATTAATTGAATATCAACGGCCGGATATTTGATTTAATTTAATAGCCTACTGTCACATTGACTAAATTGAATCCGTAATTGTTCGTTTAGTTGATACCTAGTGGCGACCACCATAATTGGCATGTTAGGGAAACGTAAGATCTAACTTAAATAAACCCTCTTAGCGTGTTTATTGGTTAGGGTTGGGTTCTTCTAACTTTAATGCAATTGGGTAATTAAATTCCTACGGTCGTACCTAGGGTTGTTATTTGGTTAGGGAAGCAGTCAATGGTCGTACCTTAACTGTCGAAAAGGTAAGGAAGAATTGGTTGTCAGAGTTTATTGATAACTATAACTAATCTAGTAACGAATGGATGAAATATCTGTGCATCGATGATCATTTAATTGGACCGTGCCTGAACAGTTAATCCTTTGGGTAGAACTTTTATTAATTGCTATTTTTAGTAAATTGTGCTTTGTGAATTAGTTTTGAATTTTGTTGGTTTTATTTTTATTTTTATTTTCCTCCCATCAAAAACCCCACATACTCTGAACTCTAGAAGAAACGAATTATTCCCAGTCCCTGTGGATTCGACTCTACTCACCGCTATATACAAAATTTGTAATTTTCTTGAGTAGGTATTTATTATTGCACAGGTTCGGCACCTGTCAATTTTTGGCGCCGTTGCCGGGGACTGTTGTTCGATTAATTTGTTTGTTTTTGAGTTCATCTTGTTTTTATTTTTATTTTGATTTTTTTATTTTCTCTTATTTTTTTTATATATAGTTTATGGCTGCTAACATTCCGTATTTTAGTAATAGACAGGATTTTATTTCTAGAAGGGGTTATGAGACTCATGCTTTTTCTAATGATCAATAGGCTGTTGCAAATTGCGGAACTTATTTTGCCTCAAATCACTCAACCGACATATACCCTGCATTTCAAGATGGTCTAAATGCTCCAATAGATACTTTTGGAAATTTTTCGCCTCAATATCAAACGTGGTATGACCCTTATTCAAACGGGTGTGATCAAGGATGGTGGGATGATTCCAATTTTAATTATGAACAAAGGCCAATAGATTTTCAACAGCTAGAGTCTCAAGAACTGTCACCCATGTCAGGTATGTCTCTTGAAAAAATAGTTGAATCACTAGCTACTAACACATATCTACTTCAACAGGAGGCAC